TTCGATTTCTATTTCCGCGTAAACTCGCGGATCACATTTTTCTATACTTCTGATGGACGCCACTACTTTCTGACGCAGTATCTTCCGTTGTCGGAATCTCTCACGCGCCTTTTGGACCTTCCTTGACACTTGCCGGCGTCCCATTACTACACTCTCAGCGAAGATGTGTTCGCGTGCCACCAGATACTTTCTCAGGCGTTCTTCGTAGGACGGCTTACTTTCTTTCCTGGGCAACGCCTTCTTTTTGTTTCCCATATTTCTATTTAAAATGCTAACGTTAAGTTTATTTTTAGGTGAAATGGCATCGCGGCTCAACTCTTCGGGTGTTGGTGTGTTCGTCCAGGCATCTACTGGTGCGGGGTTTGTGTGGAGCGCGATTCCCCCGTCATAATTGCGTTCCGTGGGGCGTTTCCCGCTGGATTACACGCCGGACATTTCGGAGTTATTACATCCGGTTTTCCACATTTAAAGCAAAAAATTCGTCGGTGCATCGACATGCAGTCTGTGAAAAAGTGGCCTTCTGCCCCACAATTCCAACACAGTACCTTGTTACGCCCAGCTGGCTGTCTAGTTAAGTGTTGATGGCGTATTTCCTCCACGGTGACTTGACCCTCATCACCGGGAGAAAATCGTCCTCCATCGTCAATTTGAACGACCTCATTGACATGTTGGGTACGAGCCGTGAAACCACTTGGCAGTGCACGATCCCGACGCGGAAAACAACGTTCAACTTCCTTGCACTCCAATCGGAGCTGTTCGAGCGAGTACGTTGAATGGGATAAACTATTTTTGCCAATGATTCGCGCAAGTTCCCTTTCACCAACCGGATTATCTCATTCTCTGGGATTGGATTCACTTCGTTTAGGAATAGCCCCTGCATTCATTGCTGTATCTGCCGGTGTGGTGTTTATGTTTCCCTGTTCTTTGTCGCTAACAGTTGAACAAGCATTATCGTTATTAATAATTATACGTTCAGAAAGGTCTATAAAGGCAGGGGGATTGGCGTTTTGCACATTTTGTACTGGCACATCCCCTGGTGGATGCATTTTAGCTTTTTTTTTGTTTGAGCACGCGTGTTATATTTGATTGACGACGTTTTCATTCAACTTATGTTACTAATGTATAATTAAATCATTTAAAAAAAACAAGGTTTGATCTCTCAAAAAAGCATGAAATCCTGAAGAAATTAAAAAAAAATGTTTGCAAAGGGGTAAAAAACGTTATGCTTCACAATTGCTCTCGCTCATTGTGGCCATACGTCTCTAAAAAAAAACTCAAAACTACTTAATTCTGTACTTAGCGGTTACGTATTAGGTTTTGAACAAAAAAAACAAAGGTACAAAACTGAGACTAATTTGCGTGAGACAAATTTAATGCTCACAAAAAAAAAGGTATAAATAATAAAAATGGTATTGTGATATGAAGATGCTTATAATAGCCCAGACTATCTTTGTCCGGCAATGCCATCTAAGGTTTATTGCAGGCGTCAGGCTATGTGATCTTCGTTATATACCGATGCAATTGGGTTCTCATTTATCTACTAATAACGCAAACAAGTCACCGGGTTACGAAAAATCTAACACCCAGTCTGGCTCCCTTCCTTGAACGATTGACTTTTCTGTGGAGGTTGAAATTCATTTATAAAACGAACTCTGCTTTTAATATGTATCGCTATTCTTTTGTGCTATGCTGGTACGACCAGTAGCGCTTCCCTACGTTCATTTGCGGACGCCAATTTCAACCTGAGGCGCAGATGTTATTTCCTGTGTTTTGATTGGGCGCCATATTATATATGTCACGTACACGTTACCGCCCCTTGTGTGTCGCTATCATTGCGGCGGCCCTAGCTAGCTCTGAAATTGTGTGGCCGTGGTTCTCAACCCTTGCCACAATGAAGCAGGCTGGAAGTTACGCGTCGTTCATCCACATGCTTTTGTCAATAGGAAGCCCACCCATCCATGGACCGCTCATTTCAGACGTCGCCTCGCGGTCTCCCTGTTGTTCTACTCCAATTGCCCACTAACTCACCCTTTTGTCATCTTCCCCTCCCTCCGAAATAAATTAGTCCCTCATATTAAATTTCTTTTCAATTTCGAATATACAAGAGAAATTTTATTGACTAACATGGAACTAATTGTGTAAATTTGAACAATAAATAAGAAATTTAAACAAAAGTTATAAAAATTCATAAAAAAATATCAACATCAAAAATTATTTATATGTATCGCCACCATCAAAAAAAAGGGACCAAACAAGTATATTACAGTTCATAGAACTTAACAAAAAGACACGGTAAACCTATCACCCTACCAAAAAGAGCTCTTTTTTTTTGTCGGTATACAGGTGTTTCAGGGAGCGGGATGTTCTCCGCTCAGATTAATGATTATCTACCTTGTTGGGTTCTTTTACTGACGGAAAAAAAAGCAGCAACAGAAGGAAACTTATGCTAACATAAAGAATATCGCGAAATACCACGGTTAACGCGCAAATAAACATACATATATATGTGTATCAGTAAAATACATGTATAAAGACTAAACTAAAATACGAAAAATTAAACTAGCTCTATGTCACGTTGTGTATTTCACCTTGGACCGCTTCTTCGCTAATAGGATTTTTTTTCTTTTTTATGGTTTATGGGATTGTGGTGGTCATCTCGGCTGACCAGAACCATGAACTCCGAATTCCTCCGATATTCCTATTTTGGAGCTTTTCGCTCGCGTGAGTTTATGTTTATTTATTTTTTTTTTTTTTTTGAGGTTTTACAATTTTTTATCAAAAACTTCTTTGTCGCTCGAGAATGCCCATGCCTGCGCGCGAGTCGGGGCAGTTAACGTTTCAGTTCACACCGCAATCTTATCCTTACGGTCCACTGTGAACTCCTTTATATAGCCTGGTTTCTACCGCCATCCGTTTTAACCTCCGTTTTCCGTAATCCGATCCGTTCGCCCTATATCTGTCTCTCTCCTAATGATTTACTCGGCTCTCCGAATGGCCCTTGCCAATCTGGCAACATTTTTCCTTAAAAGCTTTACAATTTCCCTTTTGGGACTTTTGCTGAGTTTGAAATTTGTCGATCAACACAAAGATGGCAACCAACGAAAACATCAGGTAAATAAGGATGGGGATTTTACTAATTTCATTAATTTTTTTTATTTTCAGCTGTTCCGGCGGTCCATGGGTAGCTACTAGGGACCTTCAACAAACGCCCAACATGGGGAACACCCACCCCTGACACGGTCTCCTGCTTCGAGAGCTCAGCCGGGCATGTGTTATGCGCATGTGCTCTTACATATGGAAGGATTACGGGATGTTTATTAGCCTTCTTTTTATGGTAGAAATTTCCTTTGTGAGCCATTTCAGGTCCTTCGTGCTACGTTTTGGCTGATTGCTTCCTCCCCGGACGACTTGAACCTCATCGCCGGAGAGATCGCCGAGATGGAGTACCCTACTGATTAATGTCTTTTGCATGCCAAGCGCCCAGGCTTTTTCCTGCAAGCGATTCCAACAGGTACACGTTGTTCCCGAGTGCTTTCCTTACGCGGCATTTGGTGAATTTTTTGCAAAACTTCGAATTGATGTTATTTTTAAAGTCGCTTAGAACAAAGTTACGCTTATAGACTTCTTGTCCGGGCCTAAAACGAATCGCGCGTATTCTTTTGTTATAACGCGCCGAATTTGTCTCATAAGCTTCGTGCAGCTTTCCTTTGACCTTTTCGCGCATGAGTCTGATTTTGTCGCTAGTATCTAACAAGAAAATTTCATTGTCACTAAGGCTAGACAACTTCCTGGCCAATGCGTAGTCGGCACCATTAGTGAACATGTTCGTGCCAAATAACGCGAAGTAAGGAGACACTCCCGTCGAGGAATGCACTGCACTTCGAAGAGCACATTTTATTTCGGAGAGATATAAATCCCAATCGCGATGGTCTTTCTCCAGGTATGACCGGATGGCAGCCAACACAGATTGATTAACTCTTTCTGACGCATTCGATTGCGGAGCATAATACGCCGTCTTCATGTGTTTGACTCCATAGGCCTGCAGTAGCTGTGAGAACTGCTTGGACTGAAATTGTTTGCCGTTGTCGGAATGTATTGTCTCCGGGACTCCGAACTTGTGAAGATCTCCTCTGTGAGAAACTTCACCACGTTGCTAGCGGTGGCCTCGCGCTTCGCTTTCAAAAACGTGAACTTGGAGAAGTGGTCCAGTACAATAAAAATATAACTATTGCCTCGCTTTGATCTAGGATATTTGCCGAGAAAGTCGATATATAACTTTTGGAAGGGACGAACCGTGACTACTTCGCTTCCTATGCTTGGTTTTAAGACCGTATTGCTTGGTTTCGCCTCTTTACATATTTGGCAATTTCGTACAAAGTTGCGGACTTGCACTACCATGTTTGGCCAGTAATACAACCGGCGTAAGCGACTCAACGTCTTACTCATCTCCCCGTGTGCGGTGATTTCCGAGCAGTGCGCGTTTTCTATGAGGGTTGAGGTTAGCGCCTCTGGAACTCATAGCTTCCATTCGTTTTCCTCTATTTCAATGTTGTTGACCAACGCTTTCTTGAACACTAATCCATCCTCCACCTTCAGATCCGGCAGTCTCCCAGCGTTAGCTTGAATCGTATTCACCACATCTTGGTACTCTTGGGATTCAAATGCCACAGTGGCCATATTAGCAATTGGGGAATTCGCGACTTCCTCGATGCAGCGCGAAAGTGTGTCGGCGACTATATTGTCAGAGCCCTTGCGGTGCTCGATTTCAAAATCAAAGGCTTGTAGTTGTAGAGACCATCTGGTGAGTCTGCCGCTTAAGTCTTTCATCGACATCAGCCACTTTAAACTAGCGTGGTCCGTCACCACAGTAAAGGGCATCAGCTCTATATATGGCCGCAACTTCTTGACGGCCATTACCGCCGCGAGACATTCTTTTTCGGTGACACTGTAGTTGCGCTGACAGTCATTCAGTTTTTGGGAGAAGTACGCGATGGGCTTCTCCGATCCGTCAATTTCTTTCTGGTACAGCACCGCGCCCACACCGTAATCGGACGCCTCACATTGGACAAAGAAACGCTTTGAAAAGTCGGGGTGTCTAAGCACAGGTGCGCTCGTGAGCGCTCTTTTTAAGTCATTGAACGCTTTCAAAGCAGGCATGCTCATCGCAAATTTCTTACCCTTCTTCAATGTATCTGTTAAAGGGGCTGCTATCGTGGCAAAGTCTTTGATAAAGCGTCTATACCATCCGGCAGTTCCAAGGAAACTTCGCACTTGTTTGATGGTTTTAGGCACGGGAGTATTTTGAATTGCTTTGCTCTTTTCTGGGTCGGTCTTAAGCATACCCCCGCCTACAATATACCCGAGGTAAGGCAACTCTTTAAAACAAAATTTGGATTTAGTTAATCCTATCGTTAAATTTGCTTCTTTTAGACAGGTGGCTACTTCGCTTAGGATTTGGATATGGGAGTCGAAATCTGGTGCAATGATGAGCAAGTCATCCAGATATATAAAAACATTCGCCTTGATTCTCTGCGGTATAACGCGGTCCATTAATCGGCATAATCTTTGCGCAGCGTTACATAACCCAAACGGCATGGTCACAAATTGATACAGAGGCCGGCCGGGTACGGTGAATGCGGTATATGGCTTGGATGTATCCTCCAGTTCGATCTGCCAAAATGCAAATTTTAAATCAACGCTGCTTATATAATGTGTGTCGTCAATGCGGCTAAGTATGCCTTCAATATTCTGCAACGGGTACGCGTCTTTCACCGTCACAGCGTTAAGTTTGCGGCAAAACCGATTTTTGCCAGGTTTTCTGACGATCGTGGTGCGGTTACTCCACGGACTTTCGCTTTCCTCGATCACGCTCAGCTCTAACATCTTATCGACTTCTTCGTACACAATAGCTTGCATCGCTGGTGACAGAGGGTAGTGGCGATCCTTGATTGGCACGGCATCATCGATCAGCTTGATGGCGTGTTTCTCCAGGTGAGTTCGTCCTAACCCATGCTCTTTGTACGTCCTGAAGGCGCTTACCACCTGCTCCAACCGTTGTTTCTGCTCTGGTGAGAGTGTATGCAGAATACGCCGCTCATTTTTTGTCTTCTTCGGACACCATATCATGTTCTAGTTTGCTAAAATCGATTTCATCCGCCGCTATCACCTCCGGGGCCAACTGAAAAGCTTGCCAGAAATCTACTCCTAGGTAAATATTTTGCTCGAGATAGGGGCATACAAAAAAAGTTATATTATGTTCTACATTTCTATATTTTACGGGGAGAGTGAGTTTGCCTAGCACGTTATGCATGCGTCCGCCGGCGGTTTTGACGGAGGAGACGTAACGTTCCACTGATGCTCCTAATTCTTCTACAAGCTCACGGCAGCCTCGGCCGAGAATGCTAACTGATGCCCCTGTATCTATTCGATTTCTATTTCCGCGTAAACTCGCGGATCACATTTTTCTATACTTCTGATGGACGCCACTACTTTCTGACGCAGTATCTTCCGTTGTCGGAATCTCTCACGCGCCTTTTGGACCTTCCTTGACACTTGCCGGCGTCCCATTACTACACTCTCAGCGAAGATGTGTTCGCGTGCCACCAGATACTTTCTCAGGCGTTCTTCGTAGGACGGCTTACTTTCTTTCCTGGGCAACGCCTTCTTTTTGTTTCCCATATTTCTATTTAAAATGCTAACGTTAAGTTTATTTTTAGGTGAAATGG